AAGTCTTAGATCTAAAATCTTCAAAAATTCGTAAAATAATTCTTGTTGCTCCGAAAATTAAATCATTTGACTATATGATAGCTGATGATGAGAGGAATACTTTATGTTAAGGAACTAGGCTGGAAACCCAATTGATTGGCCAAAAAATGGAGGAGAAACTTAAAGCATAAAAGAAAAAAAATAAGGAGAGGAGAGAGAGAGTTGTGAGAGAAAGAGAGATTATGGTGCTAAGAGAAACCATGTCATATATATGAAATGAATTACATTATGTGGGGCCCACCAAAAAAAATATCTCTTTATATAATTTATATAAATATATACACATGTACATACACCAAACACACCACAACACGTGTCTAAACACATAGTCACATAAACATACATCAAATAATAATGTATGAAGAGTAACGGTCTCGAAAAAATAATTTCTGTGCATAATAATATCGGTTGCAGGTTCCGCCTGAAACTTTCTGGCCTGAAAAATTGAAAAATGCCGAAATGGCAAACAATGCATTTCTAAGAGTATTGAACTCAAAGAAATGCCCCAACCACTCTCGGGACTCACTCGGCACACCCCACAGTGTCTGGCACGCAAAACAAGGTACAAAAAATAAAATCCCGAAAATGAAAAATACGAAAAATCAGAAACATTACAGAGGGCATTGCGAGTTCGGCACCAGCTATTCATGAATGGTCTAAGGTGGTATCAGGTAGGTAGGGTGGTCCGACGTTAATGAGGGCGTTACGAGTTTGGCACCATATATTCAGAATTGGTCTGTAAAAACATAGATTTTTTTTTTTTTTTGGTCTGAGGAGACATTGTTGATTCTTTATCTACATTGTTTAAACATATGCATAAAGGGGAATGGTCTAAGGAGACATTGCTGATTCTTTCATCTACATGTTTTAAACAAGTGGAGGGGAATGGTCTGAGGAGACATTGTTGGTTGTTTATGGTCTAAGGAGACATTATTAATTGTTTACGGTCTGAGGAGACATTATTAATCGTTTATGGTCTGAGGAAACATTTTTGGTTTGTTGATCGACATTTTTAATCCAGTCAGATTTGCACTTTACAACTTGTAGATTCTGAAGAAGGGTGCTAGCAAGACCCTGTTTGAAGATGCGTTTTCCAAATTGGGCGTTTTAGATATCCACACACCAACTTGAGAGGGAGTGTTAGCATATATGATAGCCACGATTTATGGAATGACTTACCATATTAGCATATATTTATTTATGTTTATGTTAACATATATGATAGCTATGATTTATGGAATGAATTACCATATTAGCAGAGATTTGATTTAGTTTCTTTTCTTGTAATAAGAGCACAAGCGTTTCAGATATCCACGCACCAACTTAAGGGGGAGTGTTAGCATATATGATAGCCACGATTTATGAAATGACTTACCATATTAGCATAGATTTACTTATGCATATGTTAGCATATATGATAGCTATATTTTATGGAATGACTTACCATATTAGCAAAGATTTGATTTAGAAAAGAAACTAAATCAAATCTAAATCAAATCTCTGCTAATATTATAAGAAAAGAAACTAAATCAAATCTCTATTAATACTACAAGAAAAGAAAATAAATCAAATCTCTGCTAATATGATAAGTCATTCCATAAATCATGGCTATCCATAAATCATGGCTATCATCTATGCTAAAATATACATAAGTAAATCTATACTACTATGATAAGTTATTCTATAAATCGTGGCTATCATATATGTTAGCACCGTCATTTGCTAAGGTCATACAATAATTAGGATGAAGTCCATGGGTAATATGGTCATTACCATAGATAAAATATAATTAACGTATTTTACTGGGTCACGTAATATATACTTAGCAACATTAAATGTGTAACGACTGTTTTGCCCTTGTAGTCAGATATTCCCCATATTTGCCTTGAAATGACTGTTTTGCCCTTGTGTGCCCTTGAGTTCGGGTAGGGACCTGGATAGTGATTCAGATCTCCGAGTTTGGTAGTTATAGTGTGAGTGTAGATCTGAGATGGCAAATCGACGAATGCGATTATACAATATAGAAGGAGAATATGAGAAGACTCGGAGAAGGCGATTTCAAACCTTCAAACATGAGATGATGAGAGGACTCAGAGGAGGCGACTTCAAACCTTTAAACCTAAGTTACACATTTTTGAACCCTTTTTCTAATGGTATAGGTCTCATCCCAGAATTTTTACTTGAATTGACCATTTTACCCTTGTGAACCTTAGAATCCCGGAATTGACCCAAAGCTAAGGTTATCTTATGTTTATGATCCGAAATAGTTAGAAATGACTGATATGACCTCGTTACGACTTTTATTGCATAGTGTGGAGCAAATGACCATTTTTCCTTGGTGTCCTCGGGTTCGGGTAAGGACCCACTTAGCGATTCGGACCCCCGGGTTGGGTCGTTACATGAAACTTATACTCTTCTTTCGAAGATGAGTACAAGAGAATGTCGTCTACGAACACCACCATGAACTTATCAAGATAGGCACTAAACACACAGTTCATCAAGTCCATAAAAGCTGATGGAGCATTGGTCAAACCAAATGGCATTACAATGAACTCATAATGGTCATACCATATGCGAAAAATGATCTTAGTGATGTCATAATCCTTGACCCTCAACTTGTAGTACCCTAACCTCAAGTCAACATTCGAAAAATAAGTCGCTCCTTTCAATTGATCAAACAAGTCGTCTATCCTTGGCAAAGGATATATGTTCTTGATCATAGCATGATTCAATTTGTGATAATCGATGCAAAGTAGCCGGACTTCTAGTACCTCCTCCCGTCCTTATAGCCAATTAGTACCGTCGTTAAAGGGGTACCTCCCTAATACCAGTTTTAAGAAAAACCCTTTACCTCGCCATTTCTATACACTTAGGCCACCCCAAACCCACACGGGACCTCCTGGTCTAAAACTCAAAAATGTCTGAAATTGACCCAAATACACTTCTAAGAGCTTTAAACTCAAATAAATGTCTTAAACGACAATCGAGACTCACGTGCCACACAAAACGAAGAATGGCACGCAAAACTATGCGCCGAGAAAAATAAAATTCAAAAAATGTCGAAAAATCCAGGACATCACGTTTTCCTTACCTTTTTTTTTTTGTCCTTTAAATAATTTTTTTTTTCTTAGCATTTCCCCCGAAAAATAAAATCCTGGCTCCGCCCAACATACTACTCCGGTCTTAAAAGACCTCGATGACAAAGGAATAGTAGGAGCGGATCGGGCTATCTGTTGCCCTTAAAAATGAGATGAATCTCCTTTTTGCTTCTTCATTCCCTTAGAAGAAATACCCATATTGTTGCCTTGTCTCCCTAGTAGCATATTTATACTTGGCCTCGGCTTTTACAACTAGAGCTCTCCTCACAGCCCTTAAATACTCCTTCAATTCTAGAGTTATCACACCCGGCCTTATGGAGAAGTGAGGAGGTCATACACAAGCTTCCAAGTCTTCCTTTCTTCATCTCACACTACCTCAGTAACAAGGTGTGAGAGTAAAGTGAACTTGTTCTTATACTCCACAGACAAGTTCAAGATTAGATGAAGTTGAAGAAACTTTTATGTAATCTTACTCCTATTGGCCCACAATGCAAGATTGGACCTCCACAAAATGGATAAACAAAATTGAGTTGAAAAAACGAAATAGCTTCAACAAAGTTTTTCCTTTCTTCTTAAATTATCTTAGACAAATAATCAATCAAATTATCTGTCTTCTCAGTCCGATGACCCTTCACCCGTATCAGCCTATGACACGTGTTAAATTTATTGATCGAATATTGGTTAATACCCTCATCAATTGAAGAAAACGACTCCTCTACTCAGAAAAGAAAATTCATTGTTCCAAATGTTGCTAGAACTTGGTTAAAATAGAGAGCATATTTATCCGAAACGATCACTATGCATCCAACCACTTCCTAACTAACTATGCCTGAGACGCTGACTGCCTCAATACCACGCCTATATAAATCCCACCCTTATACCTGCAATGCTGCCCATAGCACATTCCAAATCTTTTAGGCTATGTTTGGTAGGGTGGGTTTGAAGTGGAAGAATAACTTTAGTTATGAGGGAAAGGGAAGGGAAGGATAATTTTAATTTGGTATTATGTTTGGCTGATTAATGAAGGAAAAGAAAGGGAAGGACAATAATCACGTTTGGGAAAAGAAGGGAAAAGAAAAGAAATGAATTATTTTAATAAATTGACCATTATACTTTTTTATATTTTAAAAGATAAATATATATATATATATATATATATATATATATACTGTCTCCTCCTATACCAAGCCATGATGGGCCAAAAGAAAAGACAGGGTTTTGGATATAGCCAAGAGAGTCGATGTATGTAACATTGACTCCATATTGGATAGCTTCAACAAGAAAAATCAAATGTTGAACTTAGAGCACAGATTCTAATTACTCTCTCTATATATCGATACACCTCTTCATCTCTTTTATATCTCTCTCTTTCTATCTCTGAAAAAAAAAAAAATAAAAAAATAAAAAAAAATAAAAAAATAGGGCAAATCATTTCAGCCTCCCCAATCTCGCCTTCATCTCTAATCTCGTTCTCAACTCTAAACTTGCCCTCTGTCTCTCTCTCTCTCTCTGCACTACAAGAATTAGAAGTTCAAAACCTATATCTTTCCGTTTATCTATCTGTCTGTAAGAATCAAAAATCAAAACCCATATCTTTCAGTTTCCATCGCCGCTGTTCTAGTTCGGGCTCGTCGTTCGCAAGCTTCAGCCACTGGCTCGCCGTCTCTCACTCTCTATGCAACTGCTAACCTGTATGTATATATAATCTTAAGGGCAAATTAGGCATCACAAATAACCCTTCACTTTCCTTCCTTTTCCTTCCATTTTTTTAAGGATAAGCAAAACACTGTTCAGACCTTATATTAACCCTCCAAATCCTTCACTTTCCTTTCAACAATTTTTGTTTAGCTTATATTAACCCTCTAAATCCTTCACTTTCCTTTCAACAATTTTTGCTAAACACAAATTTTTAATCCTCCCCGTCGCCTTTCCTTACCTTTCCATCCTTTTCCATTGAACCTCACCCTTGGTGACCCTTGGTGAGAGAAAAAGTGATCGAGTTTGTATTGTAGAGAGAGAAAGTAGAAGAGAGAGAGAATTGATGAACAAGAAGACTACTACTCACACTAGTACTCTCTCTTTCGTGATACACCGCGACGTCGCAATTGGTTCGCTAATGCTTGTCTGAATCGTATTCTTGAAGATTATCTAAGAAACGCAGTGGACGCTCCGACAAAGTTGAAAATGGAGCTGAAAAAGGAGCTTCAGAGGCTGATGAAGGCAATCGTCGATGACAACGGCGACGATACGATCATCGACGCCATCGATGAAGCCAAGAAAACGCTCTCTGCAATGAAGGATTTGAGGAAGCTCAGCAAACCCTTATCTCTGATAATAGACTAATGGTTGGCTTTTCCTGAGGCGTTCTGCCCTCTTTCCCAACAACTCATGATAGACCCTGTTATTGCATCCAACGGTCAGGTCAGATTTCTCACCATTAGGGTTTGTCTACATTTTGTGTTTGTCATATGAATTTGAAGAATTTTCTTGGGGTTTAAAATTGTTTTGGTTCAAAATTCGTTAATTGTTGTTGTGGAGTTCAATTTTGGGCGGGTGGAATTGAAATTCTTCTAAAAGCTTGAATTAGAAGTTTGTGTTTCTTGATTTAGGAGACAATTCTTTAATTTTGGGGGTTTGAAATGTTTGTTATGATTACATTATGTGCAAAAGGTACTGCACTAGTTGGGTTCTGTGAACTATTTCTACTTCACTATCTTTGTTGTTTTTATTATTGTTCTGTTTTTGTGATATATCATTCATCAAATCCCAGGTATTTTATTACATTGTGATCACTTGACTGAATTTTTTTAGCTAGATTATGTTATGAATAATCAACTGACTTGTTTTTTATGAAGGTGAATGTCAAAATATAAAGTTTTTATATTGATTTGCTGATTTTGTCACCATGATTCAAGTTTTATGAACACTTCTAGAACAAATGAACTTACAATTGAATCAATCGAAAATGAGACTTCATAGTCAATGTAAAATATACTATATAGTTTCTTGGCACTTATTTGATACAGACAAGAGGCAATCTAGTTAACAGCTTAGCATTACCAAAATAGAATTAAAAAATAAGCCTACAAGGAAGATGGGTATAGGTTTTCTCTTATTTTCAAGTTGTGTTCAACCTTTGGTGAGTTGGGTGAGATGAGAAGAAACAATTTTAGCAGCATTGGGTTTGGTTTACTAAATTTTCTATCAGTAATAAGAAACTCATGGTATCTTCATTTTTCTTCTCCTTTATCGTGCCACTAAATTTGTAAAAAATATTTGAGTGAGATAATTGTAAAACACAAATAGTGTCTGTTATCATGTATCAGTTATTTAGTAAATGTCGAAGAGCTTTGATTTAGATTCTACTGTATGGGTTCACTTTATCAAGGTCGAATACACATTTCGCATTTTGTGCTGAGGATCTTGATGAGTTGATGCACTTGAGTTATTGGCCACCCTTCTTGTTGATAGACTCATTCCTTTTTCTTTTCTATATACTAGTTATTTAATACCTATGTTGTTTTATTAGTATTAGCTTTTTTTTTCTCTTTGTTTTGGTTGTTCAGACTTACGATAGAAAATTCATTGAAAAATTGTTCAACTGGGGGAATCCATACAATACATGTCCTCAAACCCAAAAAGAACTTTGGGATACTACCCTCACGTCCAATCACTTGATTCGAGACTTGATATCAAAATGCTGCAAGAATCATAGAGTCAAATTGCCCAAGCCTGTTCAATATTCAGATGGATACCTTTTTCGTTCTTTGCTTGGGAAGATGTCATCCAAAAGTTCTGATCAGAATGAAGCTGCATAGAAATTGAGATCGTTGGCCGAGTGTATGCCTTCATTCCGGGCACTTTTTGCCGAGTCCAAAAGTGCCATACCTGATATGCTTTTTCCCCTCTTTCAAAGTGACATTCACCCTCATCTCCAGAGAGACTTGATCACAACACTTTTGAATCTCTGTCTCCATGATGACAACTGCAAGAAGCTTATTGCTGAGGACGGCCCAATGGGCATACTTGTTTTCCCTCTTGTTATAGATGCATTAAAAAGCAGTATACTCGAAACAAGGAGCAATGCAGCTGCAGCCCTCTGCCTGTCATCAGATCTTGACCTAAACAAGGAGTTTATTGGGAAATTGGGGGCCCTAAAACCACTAATTGATCTCTTTGAAGAAGGGCAACCATTAGCTACGAGAAATGCTGCTTCAGCCATTTTTAATCTATGCATTGTGGGGAATAACAAGGAAAAAGCCCTCGGGCTTGGTGTTGTGAAGGTCCTCGTGAAGAAGATAAAAAATGGTATGTATGTCGATGAGTCGGTGTCTATTCTCAGTTTGCTTTCAAATCTTGAAATGGCAACAAATGAAATGAGAAAGTTGGGTGCTGTTCCCTACTTGTTTAACATAATCACAGAGAGAGTTTCTGCTGTCAACAATGAGAATTCTGCTTTAATCAGAGAGAGCTCTTCTGCTGTGAACGCCGAGAAGTCTGCTCTCAAACTTGATAATTGCCTTTTCACCCTCTACAACACTATATGGTGTTCCAATGGGAGAAACTACAAGGAAATAAGTGATGAAGAGAATTCTCATAAAACGTTCTCTCGGCTTGCTCAGAATTGGTCTCCAGTCGCCCAGAAGTTTGCCAATACATTTCTTGAGATACTGGAATTGGGGATTCCACATTAGACATTACTCATTCGGCATCATTTCTTCTCTCACGCAGCATTTCCAAGGACAAAAATTGTACAGTGCACATTAAACATGTAAAGCTTTCAGGATATTGTACATTACACATGTAGAGATCGAATACTCATACTGTGTGAGTTCATCATCTGTCATGCGGCATTTACAAGCACAAAAATTGTACATGACTATACATGTTGTAACCCTATGACCCCTTAATTCGATTTATGTATATTGTGATCATTCTCAACCTCCATTTTGTAAATTCTATATCTTTGTTCAACAGTTTCAACCTCTGGTTTATGAGTTACAGTCACTGTGAAGAATTTACTGGGGAAACTTTTTATCGTTTATGATATTCATATGATTCTCTGTTTCTATATTGTCCAAGAATTTAATCTTGCAGTTGTTGATATATCTGATGTGGTTATAGATGATGCATGTCAACGCTCTGGTGAGTAAGGGTAGTGAGAGTTTCACCCTCCAGTGGGCTATTCTTCGTATAAGATCTTCCTATTTTTTCATCTATGGCTGCAGCCATCTTATTCATGTAGATCTTCCTATTTTGTCTTAGCTTCTGTTTTTTATTGTCAGGAAATATATATATAAATTTTCTTATGCACGTTGCACGATCCGGACCGTTCATAACGATCCAGATGTTCGTTGCACGGACAAATAAAATTTTCTCAACTTAACAATTCCTGAAGTAGAAATGGTGGTTCTTTGCTTGTTTGCTAGCAATAATTTTATTTTTATTAATTTTATAGTATTTCCTTGTTTATTTTCCATCTATTCTTGTTTATGTTTTTTTAGTAAATATTACTTGAACTTTCATCAAAGTGGAAGTGAAAAGTGTTTGCTAGCATAGAATTCTAAATCTACTTGAATTTTATTTCTTTTTGTTTTTGTCACTTATGTTTTATCTTCACCAACACATGCATTTCATTGGCAGTCTGTGGATCACGATTGAATGTTTTGACTAAACAAAACTTGTTTAATAAAATTATGATAATTTAAACTGGCTGATCTTATGGAACAAAAAATTTCAAGTTTTATAAGTTATTGCTATATATATATATATATATAGCTAATGAGTCATTAAATGATAAGTATTTTATTGTGTAAATGAGTATATTTTGTCAAAAGATTATGATAGATAAAGGAATATTTGTGTGAAGTTCACATTCACCAAAAATTTTGTGATCTAGTGGTATCTCTTCTATCTCTCATTCACTTAGTGAGATTATATATATATATATATCACGCCCCCTAACTCTAATTACCAAAATTTTAATATAAATTAAATATGCTTTTGGTATTAGTACCACTTATACTAAAAAAATAAAAAATAAATAAATAATTACTTTAAATTTGAGTAATTATATATTCTCTAAATCAATGACGATCACACTAGTTAACATGTAAGTAAAATATTGAATAAATATAAATTTTTTATTGTATGTGTGAGGGGACTGATTAATCATGTAATAATTTTATACACTAAAATTATAAATGTTGGTTGATTGGTTTCCACAAAAGATCTACTAAAGGCACAAAAGTCACACCACGAAGACCCATAGCAAAGTTAGTGGTCTTATCCGATCACATAAAATCATTATCTAAACTTATCCTACAAAATTTCCTTTATTTATTTTTATTTTTTTCCTCATCAATCACGATTCACGACCATGTCGCAAATATTTGGTACACCCATGCTCACAACTAGTCACCACCTGTTGGAAAAGAAAGAAACGGTCTAAAGTAATTATTGTATAAATAATTTAAAATTATTGTATCATTATCTGAAATTATTGTCTAATTAATGTAAAGTATTTTTGCGTTTTAGTGCGATTCGAAGTCATCAACATGAACACTGTTTCCATGTGATATGCATTTGCCCCGTCGGCTATCCGATGTGCATTTGCCGCGTCCCAGACAAAATATACTTACAACTATAGATAGTATAGATAGTATTCGTACACTAAACGACAGAGTTTTAAAATTAATTGGATTAATATGATCGAATCAAGTACGAGTTGTGGCGGGACACAACAAACGTCCCTTCACGACGTCAAATCCAACGGATCGACATTTGACGACTAACGTCGGCTCCACCGGCGACGACAAAGACGACGAGTTCGCCGGAATCACATTGGTTGTCCGGCGGTACGAACCGAACCACTTGTTCTGCATGTAACGGTTCTTCCTCCACGGAGGAAGGTGCAGACCTCGACTCTTCAACGACCGCCTCGCCGCGTCGCTCATCACCTTCACGACCTGCTTCAACTCCTCACTCCTACCTACGAAAACCCTAGGCAAGGCTTGTAACACGCGCTCGTACGCGCCCGTAGGCCTCGCGATCTCGAACTCTCCGGCGAAATCGAGGTCGATGAAGTACCGGCGTCGCGACACGGCGGACTCCGATGTGACGACGTCGATGAATTCGTAGCCGCCGGCGGTCAGTCCACCGGAGCTCTCCCACCTCGTCTTGCAAATCGCCGCATTGTGTCCGCAATCTCGGAGAAAAGCCATCACGTTTCGCCGGAAAATCGATTTGTTCGAATTTGAATTCGAATTCACACTCGAGAGCGCAACTATAGCTCTGGAAACACAAGCTTCGAGTGCATTCTTGAATGAATCAACACAAACAGAGACCGTTGGATAAATGAGGTAATCGATCACGTCCGTTGGATCTGATATTGACGGATCGAGCTCGGAATCGGATTCGTTCTCCGGCGAGTGAGCGGCGGTGTCGTCTTCGAGAAAGTGGTGGATGAGATCGGAGAGGCAGGGTGATTCGTCGTCGTTTTGGGAGCTGTGTTCGCTTCCGCTGCTGACGTAGACCGGTTCACGGCCGATGATTCGATCCCTGACCTTGTTATCGAGCGGGTCAGTGACTCGCTTTGTCCTCGCAAAAGCAGCCATTTCTGGTAAAAGTGCTTTTTTTCTGAAAAGCTTTTAGGCATTAAAATGCTTTCAGTAGCATTTCGTTGATGAACTAACTTGTATGTGTGTGCCTTCATTTATATATTAAATTATAAAGGAATTTAGTATGGAATAGATATTGAATATTCGTCCAAATAGTACAGTATCATTATATATATATATATACACACACACATAGGCATATATATTTTATTTTACTTTTGATAAGGCTGCTAAAGAAAATTGGATGCGACTTGGGAAGAACTTAAGAGAAGTATAGCAGTGAATGGGGTATAAGCAGCGGAATATCCGACGGTAGTGGGTTTATTCTTTTGGAGAAATTATTGTACCAATTCTTTGTCGAGTGCAATTAAAAAATTAAATAAAATTGACACAAAAAATTGATGTATTTATTTAATGATAAGTAGTGCAATTATAATCATTAAGTTAAAAAAATAGTATGCAAAAAAATCTAAAAAAATAGTATGCAAAAATACCTAAAAACCAAAATTGCCTTTGTTATACAAAATTCCGAAAAAAAAAAAAAACCAAGAAAATAGCATGAAACCTAATTTGCCTAAAAACCTAATTTGCCTCTGTTTTTTATAGCACGAAAGTTACTTAAAAATACCTAAAGTGCCTTTATTATACAAAATAATAGAATAATAAAATAAAAATAAAAAGGTCTGAAAATATTTTTTACTGTCCTAATACATCATTCTTTTACACACTCATAAAAGTTCGAACTGAATTTATTTCTCTAGAATCATTTATTAGGATAAGGAATTGTTACTCAAAAATACCTAGAGTGCCTTTATTATACAAAATAATAAAATAACAATAGAAATGTAAAATAATAAGGTTTGAAAATATTTTTTTGCGTCTTAATAAATAATTGCCGTTAATACATTATTCTTTTATTTCTCTAGAATCATTTCTTAGGATAAGGATTTTTTTTTTATAAAAATAAAAAAAGAAGGGTTAAATAACCAAGCTCACCCATCCATACTTTCACCAAAGCTTGAACCGGATGTGAGTTTGTATTGAGCTATTACCATTTACTAGGACAAGGGACTTTTATCAAAGGACTAAATTACATATACCTAGGCCGATTAGGGCTTGCAAAAGACATACATTGGAGATCAAAGAAGGAATTAAAAAAAAGTAGAGACTGAAAAATTAGTGCATCACATGTGGAATTAAAACAAGAATAATGGTGATGATGTGAACGGATGAGAAGTTAATTACTTGTGCTAGAGTTTACTTGATGTTATTATATTATATTTAAATACTTAATTATATTAAATATAAATTAAGGAGTTAAGAATTAAATCATTTTTTATTAAATCGTTTGAAATTTGTGAGTTAATTAGGTTCTCATGTCCTGTTAAAAATAAAAATAAAAAATAAAAAATTAGGTTCTTATGCGTACCATGTGCATGGATATAAGATAGTATTAAAGTTAAGTTTTTTAATTAATATAAATTAAAAAAATTATAAAAAAAATGTAATTAAAATATGATAATTCATCATCATTTCCTTGCCTTTTTTTGATCCATATGAACCCCCTTCACTAAATTTACTAATTTCAATACATGATTGACTCCGTTTCTAGTGAGAAACAGAGTTAAAAAATGATGCTTTCCCTAAGTTTTTATCTTGTTTATATAATAGAGAGACTTGGAGAGAAAAAGACCAACTTGAATAATCAATTCATAAAAATCTATTTCGTTGATGAAGTAGTACGCTAATGATAATTTCATTTTTTTTAAAATCTATTTTATACTTTTGTTGATGAAATATTTTTTCTCAACGAGTATGAAAGTTTTGTTATGTTACTTTAAATCATAATTTGGATACACAATTCGTATGAGTTCAATTTTATTTAATTTTGTTCGAGTCCGTTACACTCGCGAGTGACCACCATTACTCACCATACTTTAAACACACAGAATTTTATTTCTTCCTATTATTGAACCTGAAGAAGAAGAAAAAAGAAAAGAAAATAGAAGAGGAGGATTGACATGACCAGAAAACATGAAATTTCAAACATAAATTTCGGAAAGTAATTCACAAACGATGAGAATGGTAAACCATATGGGATAAACAGAATACTATCATTATAAAGCAATTCAAAATTTTCTCCGACTTGTTGCTAGAAAGAATACATCAACGAGGGAAATAATGGAGAAGATAAAAGGGGATTTTAGAAACTTGTCTTGGAAAAATCATGCTTTCACAGCTTTTTTACCCAGGTCGGGAAACTGAAGAGGATCTTCAACTGAAGGAAGAGCAGCAGCTACTCCTGGCTGTGAATTTTCAGCCCCCACATCGGCACCAGTTGTAGAGTCAGCAACCGGTGCAGGCCGTGAAAATCCTCCCCTGCTCCCACGTCGCTCCTCCTGACCACGTCCATCACCATTTGTAGAGTCAGCAACCGGTGCACGCCGTGAAAATCCTCCCCTGCCCCCACGTCGCTCCTCATACCCACGACCTCGGCCACCAGCCCTTCGCGGCATCATCTCACCAAGTGGAAGAATCACACTCTTAACCTATACAGCAACAGACATTATATTAAGGACCATTCTTGAGCAGGCAGAACCAAAACACATAAAAAGGGAAAAAGAAATTCAATGTAGAGCTGCTACCTTTCGAGCTCTCTCTTCCTTGTCGAGGCTATCTTTCTTTTTGAGCTTGTCTTTTTCAAGTTTCTACAATAGAAGATTAGACGCAATTAATCATATATATATGTTATAAATATAAAATAATTTTAAGGAAAACAAAAAAAAAAAAACAGAGAAAGAAATTTTGCTCACCAACTGAATGCTGTCTTCTCTTTTTTTGCCAACAAGCTGCGTAGACTCGAAGTCATCAAATGTTACCTTCCTCTCCACTGTTAGCTTCTTCTCCCCCGAATTTAAAAAAGTTTCCAAATCCTTCCTCTTCTTCTCAAGTAGAAACTTCTGATATTGCTCAAGTGTCATTTTCTGGCAAAGAAAATATGTTATGGTTAGTTAGATTTCACAATGACAATATGTGTTTCCAAATTTTGCAGTGACTATAGCTATTACCTTTTCTTCTTCTCATCGCTCTTCGGCCTTCTTTCTGCGGTACTCCTCCTTCTCCTTCTCCTCCTCCTCCTCCTTTCTGCGAGCCTCTGCCGGATCAGCTTTATCGAGTTTATCCTCAGCATCTTTTAACCCTTCAGTAGTTGGAACAACATTCCTGACCAAAAAGAGTAAACATAAGATATAACCATTCAACTCTCTTCATTATGAATAAATAAATTAGTGGCTAATTTCTCTAAAATTATAGTAACAATTCTCGGTTTTGTTACTAGTTTGTGCATAGAAATCTTATGTATTATCAACTACAAAAAGAATCTTATATATGTATTATCAATTGTTCCACTATTTCAAGTGATGTATTTTGATTCTTCTGAGTCCTTTGCTGGTAACTAGAACCTAATACAGTAATACTGACAACAAAAATTGCATGCAACATAAACATTTAATGCAACAATTCTCTCTATCTCAGAGTGATTTATACCAGATTTGATGAGTAAAGTAGCATATATTTGAAGCTATACAACAAATAAAAATTAAGTTGACTTAAGAGACACATACCTTTCGTCACTACCACTGTTATCAGCACCATTGATTGCAAGACCTCCATTAGCAGAAGTATTATTCAGCTCAGGCATTCGGGTATTCCTTTCTGAAGCACCACCTTCCTGCTGCTGGTTTTCAAGTTGCTGATGATTAGCCTCGACATATTGAGTACCTCGGCCACGACCCCTTCCTCTACCACCGCCACGACCCTGACCCTGACCATCCAATTTCCATCAACTCCTCCATTATTCCTCCTATAACCTTCAGCCCCTCCATTCCCTTTATAGTTCTGTTGATAACCATCAGCTCCTCCATTATTCATGCGATAACCTCCGGCACCGCCATTGTTCCCCTGATAACCATTCATCTCTCCACGATTCCTAAAAGACTTTCCAGAACCACGACCACTGCCTCCTCCTCTCACTGTCTTAGATTTCACTGAAATTAATTAACACCGCCATTATCACACAAAAAATATATACAACAATAACCAACAAAGAAAAAGAGATACAACCACATAAATCAATCAAAAAATAATTGTAAAGCTACATTGTTTAACAACAGAGAAAACTGAGTTGGAAAAAACTAGAGAGAGAAACTGAAACTCATATCAATTTTAATTTTAAAGAAAACTGAATACAGAATAAAAGAATTGCACCCAAACAGAGCGTTAAAAAATTGTAAAATTTTTGATCTTTGATAAATTAGAGAAGTGGATAAAGATAAAATCTTGTTGATCTCAGATAAATTATAATTTAGGCCCACGGGTTTTATGCCCAAATTCGCCCACTAATGAGTTTTGGATCAGTTGGTAAAATTGTATAATTAGCAGGTTGAGAAACTAACTACAGAATAAAAGAATTGCACCCAAACAGAGCGTTAATTTTTTATCTTTGATAAATTGGAGAAGTGGATAAAGATAAAATCCGGATAAAGATAAAATCTTTTTGATCTCAGATAAATTATAATTTAGTCCCACGGGTGGGAATTTATGCCCAAATTTGATCGTGAATGAGTTTTGGATTAGCTGTTGAGAAACTGAATAGAGAATAAAAGAATTGCACCCAAACATAGCATTAAAAAATTGTAAATTTTTTTTTTATCTTTGATAGATTAGAGAAGTGGATAAAGATAAAATCTTAATTACCCAACAATCTTCTTCACCCTATCAAATAAACCCTCTTTCAGAATCAATTAACATTATAAATATGTATAAACAAATAAATACATAACAATATAAACAGAATTTAAAATATAAACTTATAGATACAGAACAAGAAGAATGGAATTATACCATATTGAGAAGGAGGAAGAGGTTGAGACATTGCCGCCGTAAGGGGTGTTAGAGTTGCACTACACAATCAATCGAATTTGATTCCAGTTGTTGTGGCGAAAACGCAAAATAACAACGCACGTTGTTCGAGGAATAATCAAGCAATTACAAAGAAAAAAAAATCACACATAAGAATACAAGATATACATGGTTCACCCAAATCTTAGGATTACG